AAGACTTTTTCGGGATCAATTGGCATTTTAAAAATGTTAATAGTTTTGGGAGGGAGAACCGCTTTAAGCTGTCACCAGCCGGAATTTGTTCCTTAACTTTACACTTTGGCAGTTCTGATATCTGTGACTTCATGCCTGCAGGAGGCAGGGTGTGTGTGTGTGTGGCGGGGAGGGGGAGGGGAGACTGGAAGGTGGGGTTGGACCTACCTGGGCACTTTTTCTTAAAGTGAGGATTGTGACTCTTATGGTCAGACTCACCTGGCGGTTTTACCAAAACTTCAGTGCTCAGTTCCTCTTTTGGTGCACTAAATCGTCATTTCCTAGTGGCGGGACTTGGGAAACAATGTTTACAATGACTTGGTTTAAGTAGGGGGTTCTTTCTTATTCAACTTGAAGTTTGAGAATCAATGAATAGACGAGGAGATGGGAAAAGTAGGCGTCTTGATGATCCTGACTGTCGTGTAGGAAGCCACAGAGCGGTTATTAAAAAGCACGGGCATGCGCAGTTAGTCAGCTTAGAAGCAAGTAATATACAAGCAAAATATACAGTGGATGAATCTGTTTTACTTTTGTTTCAATAAATTTGTATTTGGGGGAATTTGGCATATGTTGTATTACTCTTTTCCCCTAGTGGGATAGTACCAGAAAGGAATGCATCTTGGCTATAAGTTGACATAATATACATTTCAAATCTGACGAATGTTTGGTGAATTTACATATTATTTGCAAAGCCAGGAGTATGTTGTCTAAAGCTGATTTTGTAGTCTCAGAGAAGCGACATCAGAGTGCCCTGATTTTCAGTTTAGAAAATGTGGTTCCAGAGCTGGGGTTCAGCAGCTCAGTGAAAGCGGCTCTCCCGCGCTCCCCTGTGACTCCCTGCTTTCTCTGCATGGGGACCGCAGCCTGGCCGCGTGGCTCAAAGGGTGCAGGGGAGGGCAGAGTCTCTGTCTTGCGTGCCCCCTCATTCTGAAATGGCTTTTTTGAGGTATAATTGGCATAGAACAAACGGCACTTAGAGTGTACGGTGTTAAGTGTGCACACGCACACGCCGCGTGGACCAAGCCTGACCCTCCACTGTAATGAACGCGTTCATCACTCTGAAAAGTTCCTGGGGGCTCTCTGCTGTCCCTTCCTCCCACTCTCTTCATCCTTTTGTGGAATCTTTGAAGCTGTTAGGCCGAAAAAATGATATTGTTGAGGATAAAATCATGGGTAGAAAGGTATTTAACCTGCAGTTTTTAGGTTTTTTTTTTTCCTGAGGACTAGTGGAAGTAATGTGATGATTATAACCGTAGGTTGCTCTGTCATTGATAGAAAGTTTTGAGAAAAACACACATATCTTAGAACAGACTGTCTTTGAGAAGCTTGGCAGAGATGCATTTCTAGAAAGGTTGAAGAAATGGTAGAGATGGTGACTGTTGTTGGAAGGGCACAGAGGACCAAATGCTTGTATTTTTTTAGTTTTTCAGTAGATGATATTTCTAACAAATTCTATCATGAAAGGGTAATAGGAATATAATCCCCACTTAACTGAAGGATATACTTAGCTCAAGTGCATTTTATTCTAGTCTGTTTTATTGAATGACGTGGTGATTTATTTATTTATATTTATAGGTAAACAAATTTTTTTTTGCCTCTCACTGTAATAAACTTTTGTCTGGACATTTTCTCTTTTTCACCTCTGAATACACTTGCTGAGGTTAGTTTCCGGTGAGCATAATATTGTTGAGTTACTAGACATTTGGTAAAGAAGTAGTGAGATAGATAGGGTTCTGTTGTAATGTTAGTTTCTGGCTGTCTCCTAGCTTTCTGACTCTGAATTTTCTCAGCTGTTTATTTTTCATTTCTTTTCGGTTCTCCCATGTATTTTGTTTTGTAAGTAATATGCTTGAGGTAAACATGGCAGCATTTGTGTGATGATTTAACCTCATTAGAGATGATGTTCTTTGTCCTGTGTCCTGTTTAGTTGAGAAATGAGCCAGTTCTCTGTGCTTATAAATGCTGGCAGGTCCTTGGCAAAAAACAAAAAGAAACTAACCTAGAATACAAATTGAGTGTGTTGGAAAACATGTCCCTCTAAAAAGTGATCCAGACATTGAGAGCTTACTATGGGTGAGGATTTCCCTGGAAAAGTGTCCTTCACTGGAACTCTGATGACCTGATGGTCTCCTGACAGTGAAGCTTGGTTGTGTATTTCCGTGATGTTATTAGTGTGTACTATGGCGGCGTAGTTCTCCAGTTTAGATCGAGGATAGCATGCATGTTAGTTATGCCCCTAAAGTTCTGGGGGGTTAGTAGGATTTTTGATCATTCCTTGTTTAATTCAGTGACTGGTCATCATTTTGAAAGGGGACTGTCTTGCAATAGACGAGCTTTCTGTGCCCCTTGATGTAAAAATGCCAGTTCTCCCAGCGAGGGATTTGTTTTGGGTTGAAGAAGCCACCTTAGTCTTTGCGTGCACTGCTATGTATAAATTCAGTCCATTTGTAGTCAACCAGTGCCTGGCCTCACGGAAGAAAAGGGGGCTCCTGGAGGAGACCCGAAAATGGTAATTTGGTTCCTGAGCCACTCTGGGGCCCAGGAAGGGAGCTAGGAAAATCTTTTGTATATACATCAAGTTTCAGCTTGGGTCAGTCCTTTGGGAAAAAATAAAATAAAAAGCTATGCAGGTCCCATAGCTTCTAGAATTCATAGCTGACCTGTTGCTTTAACAGATTTCAGGTTAAGTAGAAAATTGCCAGATTGTTTCTGTGGGAAAACGTATTATGTTCCAAATGCCTGCCTCAGTGAAACGGCTCTGGCAACAACGTGTGGTTGAAGTGCTCCCCAGGTGTGCCCTGTCCTTGAGCCCTCCTTTTAGGCATTAAATTATATTCCAGGACCCTTGAATATTAGGGACGTACTACTTCCTGGTGGCCTTTACTTTCCTCCACCCCAATTAGCAAAATTATTCGTAGATTATTTATTGGCACAAATTTATTCAGAGCCACTTGTTTGTCAGAACTTGGGGAGAGTTCTGTTTCTGTGTGTTTTTTACTTAGATTGTCATCATTTCCTTCCGTGGAATCATCTGTGGGAATTCAGCTGGTTGTAGTGAGAGCGGTTCCTTACTACTTGGGCTGCTATCACGTTGGAATGGGTTGGTGTCTCCGCAACTTTTGGCAGGGGTTAAACTGGTACAGCATTTGGGCCAACGTATTTTTGTGAGTTGGTGAATTTTAGAAGTGATTTAGAAGATGTTAGCAGAAACCTCTCTAGGTGCTCTTTCCTCTTGTTTTAAGAAGAAATTATTTGATAAGTACATGTGTTTTGATAATGAAGGGGTGTGTGTAGATACTTGATCTGAGTTGGTACCCTTTTTCTCATTTTCATAGGAAATCTTTTAGTAAAACACAGCTTGACTACCGTTACACCGCTGGCTTCTTGCCTCCTCCTGCGAACCGGCTGGAGCCGTGTGAGCACCAGCGCTTTTTTTGGTGGCTATCGATTCCTGCCGGAGTGCTCCCAATTGCTTGCATGCCTCCCAGCAACAAATACATATGTGACAGACTTTACGGGAGATGAGCATTCCCGAGAAATGAAATGCTAGTTTACTTTTCAGTAGCTATGGAACTTAAAAAAAGAAATCATGTTTTTAGAATCATGGCCTTAAGGCACTAACACACTTGTATCTAGTGCATGAAGCTCTGCACGTTATTTTTAACAAAACCTAATCGGGGAGACAGAAATCTGATGTTTATAGAGTTTGTTTATTTATTGATTGCTCTGAGCCATCAGAAAGAATATGCTGTTCCTTTTAATAAAATCCTTTTGGGCAGTTGTCTATATTTTAATATAGAAGTATTTTTGGAATTTGATTTTAACAAGGTAAACTCTGATGTTGGATACTGTGGGATGCAACGCAACTAGGGGCCTGGAAGAAGGGTGGTACTTAAATCAGGTCCTGTTTTACTTCGAGTGGTGACATTTATGTTCCCATTTACCCTCCCACCCTTGAGCCATCATTTGCACTGCCGGTTAGAGCCTGCGGTCCAGTAAATGCTGGGTACTGTGGATCCTGAAATCAGGGAATGTAGCCTGCTCCAGTTTGGTTTTAGAGAGCTGACTAAAGATTACTGCGTGATCATGTTCACTTCCTTTAGTAGTGGAAGGAATATGGAAAATATTTGCTGTAACTGTTAATTGTTACGCTTGCTGTTGCTGCAAAGTATGCATGTCGAGATTTAGACGGTAGCTTTGTGTTGCAAAGAGCTTTGTGTTAGCTCTTTTTTGTCCTTTTTAAAACAAACTATTCTAATTTCTTAATGAGGAAGATGAGTAAATAATAACAAGATATTGAAGCCTAACCTGTCAGATACTTTTCATTGTCAGAGATTCCTGTTGTCAAGCTTCTATTAATTCTGTGTAATTCCAGTAGAACTGCAAGTTATTTTGCTTAAAATGTTTTTTCTCCCCTCTGTGCAGTGAGAGTTGAATGTGAGAACAGATCTTAATAGATAGTTACACAGTTTATTTTATCATGTATCACTTTATTGCTGTCTTCTAGAACATTGTTATACTAAATGTTCCAATAATGGAAATTTTATGCAGCTACTTCAAATGAAACAAATTTGCAAAAACTCAATTTTGGAACTCATTCCTTGAGGAGAGGGAAAAAACTCACCACACTGTGACCAAATTAGATTTCTGATATATTGGCAACTTACCAAACACTGTCATTTCCAGAAAACAGGGTGTGGGGTCCAGTGGAAATGTCAGTACTTCTCAAACACTTATAGTTGGAGATATTTTGGGTTTTAATATGATTGTATGGTTAAATTTTTACAAAAATTTTGTTGGTAACAGGTAATTGAAATTTCGTTTTGTGCCTAAATAAAAATGGCTCTACACGGAATCAGGAATGACTTGTGTTCAATTACAGGGGAGTCTTCTTTTCAAGAACTTGATTTTAAATTCTCAGAGATATTAGTTTTACTTACTAGAGCTCCTTTGTTTTGCAGAGATCATGATGCAGCCGTCCTTTTGGATTTCTTTTTAATAATGTGTGACCCTTCACCTTTGATCCCCTGACCTGCATTACCTTGGTAACCATTTCATTTTTTAATTTAATTTCATTTTTTAATTTTGGTGTACAAGCTGTAACATTTCATCTCTCAAAGTGTAACACGCTGATTTCCTCAAATAGAGATACCCCTTTGAGCGATAAATTTGCAAAATGCTGTCTTCATTTTCTGTATTAAAATTCATTTCAGTTTTTAAAATAAAGTGTAATCTGTGTTTTCATCCTTTTAAAATTTAAGTTTAGTGAGTGCATTTCCCCATACAATAGTTCTCCTTTTCTATTCATGTTTTGCAACAGCTAGATTACCTTGCTGCTCACACATAACTCACATCCACAGCAGCCAGCCGCCACCTTCTTCCACACACACCCCCTCCCTGTCAGCACGCACCCCTTCCCGTGCAGATTACCTCCTCTTTCTTTCAGAAACAGTGGCAACTTGAGTTTAGCAGTCTTAGCTGCCACATTCCACAACCTCAGATTACATTTTATATTCTCAAATATTATTGGGACAGAGAGTTGAGCCCCTTAATTCCATGTATGGACTAGAAGATAAGAAAGTTGTCTTTTCCCCAGAAAGTACCTTTCCCCTCCTTTAATATTTATTTCTTTATTTGAGGCATAAGTTAATAACAAGCAACATTTTTAACATGGTCAGAAATGTGCTTTTGTCTCTGCTGCAGCCTGGGTAATCAGCTGCGGTGGTCTGCATACCTGATTGCTTTATGACATATGCTGTTTTGTGACTGCTGTTGAGACATTTTTAATTGTATTCTGCTTTTCAGAAAATTCTTACTCAAAAGCAAAACAAACCAAAGTCTAAAAACAAAAATCAAACTTGAGTTAGTTCTTTGAACTGGCAGGAAATTCCTAAGAAATCATGTTCCTTAAAAAATCATGTGAAATCTCTTAGCATGGTCTGCTGAAGTGCAGATTATTTTTTAAGTGTCTCATTATTTTATTCTCTAACATTTAATGCTGATGCTTTAATTGCACACAGCTGAAGCTGCTAAATGAGCACTGAAATGGATTTAAGTCCTCTCTGAGCTTTGTTGATACCTATAAAAGTTTATGTCATTCATTAGAACCATAAATTAAAATTAGTTGTAGTGAGCTGTTCATTGGAGATTGGAACTCTCATGAACACTTCTTCGGGCTGACTAGCTTGTTTTTGTCTTTTATACTTACATACCTGCAAACCTGCCTTCGACCTTGGCTATCTTTTCACAGAATTGCAAAATACCAAGAGCTGAGAAATACAAATTCTATGATTACAAAGCCAGAATGTACATGGAATGAATGTCCCGGTAGTTATGGGCAACTTACTTGTTGCCTTGCATTTTAAGTTTTTTTTTTTTTTTTTTTAATTTTTTTTAATGAGAATGCTTTCAGAGTTGTGTAGGAATGTTTTCCAGATCCCACCCATTATTTGTTCCTCTGATGTGTTTTCCTTCCCGCCCTGAAGGAATAGTGCACAGCCTGAGTTTATTGCACAGAGTGTGCTCCACTCGTCTTGCTGAAGCTCCCTGTAGCCAGGGAGGGGCCCCTGAGGGGAGTGGCCTGATGGTCCCCAGAGAGTCACAGGCTCCCTGTTGACAGAATCAGGGCCTCTTGACATCTTCCCGGTAGGCTCCCATGGCTCCTAGAGATAGCCAGCTACTTTATTCATCAGTCCAGTAGCAGCTGAAGAGACATAAATAGGTGCACAAGAGAAATGTTTTTATTGTGATATTTTATTTTGCAGTTAGGTCAGTTAGGTTTTCTTTAAAGTTTTCTGCTTAGTACATTTTAAGATAACTTAATTTTTCTAAGAGAGCTAGTGTATGGACATATTTATTACTTACTTTCAAGAAGCATTGTTTATTTGGTTCGTATTTAGGGATGCTAGTAAGTTGTAAGCCACATGGATGTAGTTTTTGTAAGCCTGATTCAGAGAAAACTCTAGTCTGGGAGTCAGAAAAACCTGCCTTTGACTGGCAGGGTATCTGGATGTGCCATTTGTTCCTTTTAAGGTAGTTCTATGAAACTAAAGAACTGGAGTAGGAAGACTTCAAAAGACTGTCATGTTGATGGTATTAAAAACACTGAAATCAGTTGTGCAGTTCAACAGTATAGGAGTTTGTAAAACGTTTCATGGATTCACCTTCAGTTTTATCCTCTGTGAAATGTAGATATTATTATGTCTCCTACTTGCTTTTTAGGGTTGTTGGCAGGATAAATGAAACACTGTATGCTGCACACCCTGGGAACCAGAGGGAAGGTGCTTTTGAAATTAAACGTCGTCCTCTGGCTGGGCCGTTGGCGGCGTGACTGTCACACCGAGAGGCAGTTGTAGTGAGGTCTGTGGTAAAGGCCAGGAGCATGGGCTCTGGGGCCGGGTTGCCTGGGGTCCAGTGCCTCCTCCCATTTCGGCCCCTTGCAAGTGGTTTGGCCTCTCTGTGCCTCGGTTTCCTCCTCTTTCAAATGGAGCTGAGAAGAATAGCCCCCTGCTCAAGAGGGTCATGGTGCGTCTTTGGGGGTGGATGTCTGTGAAGTAGCCAGAGCAGGGCTGACACGCGGGTCGGCAGTGGCTGTGGCGTGCGGGCCAGATCCTGCCCACCGCGAGAGACCCAGGCAGGGTGGGGTGTCAGTGACAAGGAATTCTGAGGGGGGCCTCGCAGGAAATGAAGCTTCAGAGAGCTTCCCCGTTAGTCTCCTGACGTTGTCTGCGAGAGCCAGGTGTGCTTCCGGGGAGAGGGGCTAGGATGCTTACGGTTACTGGGTACCTCTGAAGCAGATGCAAGTTCAGGTGTGTAAAGGTAAATCTGGGCTCCTAACCGTCTAGAAAGAAAAGCTTAGATTTAAGAGCACTTAACCCTTTCATGTTAGTGGATTTTGGCTGTGGAGATGTAAGAAAAGAGACCCGTGGGAGAGACGCCCCATCTTTCACTGTTGAGCTGGCTCCCAAGGAGTCAGAAAACTGTATGAGGCTTCAGTGCTTCCTCCTAAGTTGAAGAAGTGGAAGGAAGTCACTGTTGGGGGGGCGGGGTTCACATATTTTTCCGGGTGCTTTCTGTACATTTTAATCATCTAAATTTATCTGTGAGGTGAGTGGTGTGTTCACTCTATTTTGCACCTGAGAACACTGATGATCAGGTGGTTAAATCAGCCCTCATAGGGTCATACTCCTAGAAAATAATGGAACTGGTACTTAAATCCAGGTGCTGTCCTTCTCCTGGCACCTGCTTCCTTATTTTACTGGCAGACGTGGCTGGACCCCTCAGAGGAAATAGTTCTGCCGTTTGGTTGCAGGGGACTCACCCGTGTGCATTACGTCCCTTAGCCATTAGCAGCCCTGACTTAGTGACCTGCCACCACCACTGCCAGGAGGGCTCCATCCTCCATGCGGCACTTCGAGGGGCTCCATAACAGTGGCTTCCTCCATCTTGGCTGCACACCCAGGATCACTGTGCAGCTTTGAAATATGGAGCCCTGGCCGCGTCCCAGGCTCCGATCTGGCCATTCTGGCAGAATTGGTAGGTTCAGAAATACAGGAAGTTTATGTTATGAACAGAAAAGAAATGTAAATAATTGGTGCACATGTAGACCTGTGCGTCCAGAACATGGGCCAGTGCTATTAATTCTATAGTTAGCTACACTGTAAGTTAAATGGGCCTTTCTGGGCCAGTTTAGTAATTCAGCCACCTGTAATCAGCACCCCTTCTGTGGGAAAAGTCCCAGCCATCCACTCCGTAGGATATAGTCCTCTGGAAGTGGGCATCTGACCATCCCCAAAACCAGGTTTGAAGTTAGTCACAGAACTGAATACAGTTAGGGGGCTCTGACTTCTTCCTCTCTCACTTCTTTTTTCTCCCATCTTGTATGCTTCCCCCCGCCCCCGTCCTTTCCCCTAGCTCCCAACTCCTTTTTCTCCTGTCCTTCCTCTTTTTCTTTGTCTCCATCCGTGGGCCAGATCCCTCTGGGTGTGTCTATCCTTTGGACCCCAAAGCACTTGAAATCCTCCAGGAGACCTAGCATGAAGTAGGTGTTCATATCGACATTTCTTTTTTTTTTTTTTTAAAGATTTTATTTATTTATTTGACAGAGAGAGGCACAGTGAGAGAGGGAACACAAGCAGGGGGAGTGGGAGAGGGGGAAGCGGGCTTCCCGCTGAGCAGGGAGCCCGAAGCGGGGCTCGATCCCAGGACCCTGGGATCATGACCTGAGCCGAAGGCAGACGCTTAACTGACTGAGCCACTCAGGCGGCGCTATCGACATTTCTTAATATGTCTTCATATTGCTCTTTTAGAGGAGTAAGCACTGCCCCTCATTAGCCTGAACACTGTCAGCTTTCGTTGGCGATTCACTGAATAGGATGGAATGTGGGGCAGTAGGATGGACTTGACCGTTCTCGAGGCACTGGTATCAGGCTTTTAGTGTGTTTGCCGCCTAGTTTTTTAGAGCTGGGCTGTGAGGCCATCTGGGACCTCTCACGGTGTTCCTGAGAGGGGAAGGCCTTTCCTCGGGGCGCTTCGCTGGTCCAGATGTGCTGCTTGGGGCGCCTCCCCCTCCGTCACACTGACCGAGGGGAGCAGAGCAGAAGCTGGGACACCTGTGTGTGTACCATTCACTGCCTCGAGAGATGGTAGGGAAGCAGCCAGCCCTTCTGCGTCGGTGCCCCCTGCCCCCTCCCGTGAACAGCTTCTGCGGGGCGGAGTGCTTTGGTGTGACCTGAGGGCCTCCTCACGGCCCCCATCCGGCCACCATCCGGCCACCATAGGGGCCGTGCTGATGGAGGTTAGCCCTTGTTCAGGCATCGCGGAGACCGGGAGACCCACTCCAGGGACGAGAAGGCGGTTTTGCCATTCTTCAGCGGCATCAGCTCTAGCCAGAGAGGGAGTTAGAGGACAAGAGGGGACAGCAGTGTGGCGGCATAGTCAGGAGATCACAGGAAACGTCTCCTGTTTGTTCTCATTTGTGCTTCTTGTTTCCCTGGGGAACTGGACTGTGGGACATGCTTCAGAATCCCAGGATTCCTAGACCAGACTTGTCACTGTGCACACATCTTCACCTGGGTTCACAGATCCGCCACACGATGACAAGGAAGCACACACGTGCCTCCCTCAGAACTTTGGTTATTCGGGTTTGATCATCCAGTCCTTTCTCTCTCCTGTGCTGGTCCTTTCGAGTACTTTACCCCTCTTCGCCCTTCATTTTTCCAAGGAGAGACCTGAGTGATTGTTTT